GTCAAATGTAAACTTTCATGGAACCAGAAGTTCCCCTGGAGAGGCTCCTCATCTTCTCCTTCACTTTCTGGCCTCTCCTGAAACCACCAGAACAGGTGGCATCACACATTCTGTTGGACATCAGATTATTTTGCTTAAGGTGTACTCAAATGTTCAACTGTGGATGCCAGGTCCTGATAGGACCTTCTTCTTAATAAAGTTGATTTTTTAAAAAGACTTGTTTGAAATAGCTTCTTTCCATCAACAAGGAACATGTGTGATTTCCTGTGTAAAAACCAGACATTTATACACCAGAACAGAAACTCTGTTAGCTTGATTGCAGTACTTAAGGAAGCAAAGTGTAATTAGTGTTGGATGATTCACACCTTGGACCTTGGAACCTGTCCACAAAGGTTTCCACTATTTGGCTATCACTCCAGGATAAAATCCCCAAGTAAAACAATCTCAGGATTATAATCAGTAACTTCCTGATTTGGAACTAATAAAGCTGTCTTGAAGATTACATCTTGTCTTTTGAACCTGGCCCTTGCATTCCTTAATGCCATAGTGTTCCTATGGACCAGGACTATGTTATAAACAATAATCCCTTACTTGGGGAAGGGAATTTGGCACTTGGGTGGCATCGGTACTGTAGCAAAGGTCTGATTGATCCCAAGCTTGCGCACTGACCGTTTTATGGTTGGATTTTGCTCCTAGTATATGTCTAAGTCATGTACTGGCCCTCCCAGTCCTAAATCCTTGAGAATTAAGACAATCCTAGGAACTATGGTATGGACTTTGGGCTAGGAAACAGAGTAGGCCCCAGTGACAGGACATGCCTGAGTCCTTGCTGAGTCTTTCAGAAACTTTTGGGGCCTTGAGGTGACACAGCAGGACTAGCTGAGTGGGGCTCAGGGAAGCTATCTATCTGCAGATGACTATTCTGATGACCTTTCAGTGACCTCCAGTGATAAGCCATCTTCTGGCTCTTTATGGGTCTGACAGGCTTGTGATGGGGCCTACATTGCTCACTTGAATATTAATCACCCTCCAGGTCCAGGATCCCAATTCCCACAGTCTCCTGGTACAGAGCCATGGGGCTCAGACATGGGCCACGTTAGATCTGGAAGACATAGGTTAGCTGCAGGCAGAAACAGGCCTGGGTCCCCTCTGTTCTGTGGTCTCCATTGCAGAGAAGAGGCATCTAGGAGCTTCTTTCTGCCCTCTGATTTTCTTCACTGAACAAAGTAAGACTAGGTAATCTGATTTTCTTTTCATTCTAAAGCAGTGGTTCTCAAAGTGGGACCCTGCGCTAACAGTATCAACATCACTTGGGAACCTGATAGAAATGCCAACTTTCCAGCCTTACCCCAACCTATAGATCCAGCAGTGTGGGGCAGGGCCCAGCAATCTGCATTTTAATAAGCCTTTTGGGTGTTTCTGAGGCTGCTCAAGTTTGAGAACCACTGATCTAATGAATCTTCATGTTCAGTGCTGCTTTGAGGCGGACTGGCTTGGACAAACAGATGTCTAAATTCTGCAGGCATAGAATGGAGTACTTTTCCTCTTCTATCCACTTACAATGGGCTGCTAAATGTAAAATTGTCAGGTTCTTGTAATTATACATTTGAGGAAGAATAATAAAGGGTGTCAGGCTTCTGAATGGGGGTTTTGACTCATACAGTATGATGAGTTTAACTTTCCGAGCATCAGGCCAAAGCCTCCCATCCACAAAGGGGCAAGCATAAAAATAGTTTGGCTGTTTCCAATTGGGACCAAATGGAAACCATCTGGACTCCACCCTCAAGAGGTTGATATAAATCCACTCAATCTGACCCTTTATTGTGAAACAAATAGAATTCTTCTACCAAAGTCCAAACTCACCTCCAACCAAACACCTTTTGACTGTGAAAGTAATTATCCAGTGTGGGAAGCTATTTTTTTTTATTTGCTTTGTGAATTCTGGAAAGCATAAAAATGGTCTGCTCTGACAATAAGCCATAAAGTAAATCTGGATCAGGGACAGGCTTTCCTACTGATTTGAGGCACAGGATCCTGGGGAGACAAAAGACTTTAATGGTTCCCATTGTCTATTGGATTAAGTCCCAACTCTTGGCCTGACCTGCAAAATCTTCCTTAATGTGACCTACCCTTTTTGCCAGGTTCACTCTCCCACATCCTCTTGTTTCAACTAAACTTTGTAGGTTCATGGGCTTGCATAATTAAGCCCTCCGTCCCTTCTTAAATCCTTCCACCTGTAAGTCCTTTCTTTCCACATGTCAACTTCTAGGTTGTTCACATAAGCCTCTCCCCACTTCCTTTCCCAGGAAGGATGCCTTTCTCTGAACCCACTGTCCATGTTTGGCGCTTGGCAAATGCTGCCTTGTGTGGCTATTTTCCTAGGTGTGCATCCTGTTTATAAACTACATTCTGAGCACTCTTGTTATTAGTTGAATTGTGTCCCCTCCCAAAATTCCTGTGTTGAAGTCCTAACTCCCAGTTCCTCAGAATATGACCTTATTTGGAAGTAAGGTCAAGGCACATGTAATTAGTTAAGATGAGGTCATGTTGGACTAGACTTGGCCCCTAATCCAGTATGACTGGTGTCCTTATAAAAAGGGGAAAATTGGACACAGACGCATACAGAATGCCTGGGGAACACGAAGGCGAAGGTCAGAGTGATGCATCTGTAAGCCAAGAAAACACCAGACTGCCAGCAAACCACTGTCCCTCAGAGCCTCCAAAAGGAATCAACCCTGCCAACATCTAGATCTTGACTTCCAGAGCCCAGGACTGTGGGACAATATATTTCTATTGTGTAAGGTCAGAAGAGGCAAGTCTGATATTTCTGTGCCAGGTTTTAACAGCTGAAAGGTATTATTATGACCTGGGCCTCAACATAGCTGTTATTCAAAAGCTGAAGGGACAGTTGTATTGTTTTCTTTTTGACTTTTTCCTCAAACTATCTACCTTCTATGGGGGTTTAACATCTCCAGGGCCTACATGGGGGTGGAGGCTTGGAAGTCTAGGATGGGGAATGGCACATGGGTGGAGTCATTCACGACTGTATTCAGACTCTGCAGTCATTGCCTATTGGAGTTACGCAGGCATTCTGTGTTTTTACATATATTAGAAGAGTTAGCTTGTTAAACATAAAGATTTAGAGTGCTATGCAACTTTTTTAACCTTCTTTGCCATTAATTAACTTAAAAAAATTTTTTTTAAGCAGGGAGGTTCAACAAATAGAATTAGTCAGTTTCTCTCCAGCCTTGAGAAACCTTAAAGTTTCCAGAGAGATTTTGGCCTTTCCTGAAATATCAAGGTGGGTTTTTTTTTTTAAGGTTTTATTTATTTATTCATGAGAGATACAGAGAGAGAGGCAGAGACATAGGCAGAGGGAGAAGCAGGCTCCCTATGGGGAGCCTCATGCAGGACTCGATTCCAGGACCCTGGGACCACGACCTGAGCCAAAGGTTCAACCACTGAGCCACCCAGGTGCCCCTCTGCAATGTCAAGTTAACTGCACAGCATGAGGCACACATTCAGTCTTTATCCTCATTGCCACTTTCTATTAGGTCTAGATGCAGAACTAGAGACCCAGGGATGCCTGGGACCTCATCCCCACAGAAATCCCAACGAACTCCTCCAAAATGATTTTTAGTTGAAAATATCCCCAAATGGTATCTAAAACAAATGATAACCTAGCAGGGTTCTTCATCTTTTTTTTTTCTTTTAATAGATTTTGCAAAATCTACTAGCACTATACAATGGAAAGACTGTATTTATACCAGATGACAGAGACAGGTCTGATAAACTGTCCCACTTTCCATTTCCATTTGGCTTTTTAGATCAAAGGAATTTGTATTTATCTAATTCAGATTTCACAGAGGAGATACAAGAATAATTCAAGGACAGGAAAAAGACCACACCACACAAAAGAGGAAGAAAAAGGCAAAAGGTAAAGAGCTACATCGCAAGGGCCTGTCACCTTCCACACACTAGTTGTACAGAAAAATAAATAAATAAAATGGACTAAAACAAAACAACACAAATTTAGGTTGCCTCCACAAAGAGTGTTCCAAAGACTGTGCTCATGATACATCTAACAGTCACCTGGTACTGTGTCTTTAAAACTTCAACATGTTAAAGCTGGAGTGGGATTTAGGAAGCTGTGAGTGCAAATTCCTCCATTTGCTGAATAGGGTGCTGAGACACAGGCACCAGGCCAAGCACTGGGCAGAGAACCCAGCTTCCCTAACACTTAGCTGTGAACCTTTAAGACTTGGATAGCTTCTCAGGGCACCTGGCTGGCTCAGTCAGAGCATGCAGCTATTGATCTCAGGGTCATGAGTTCGAGGCCCATGCTGGGTATAGAGACTACTTAAATAAATAAATATTTTTTAAAAAGACTTAAAGCCACCTGGGTGCTTCAGTCGGTAAAGCGTCTGCCTTTGGCTTGGATCATGATCTTGGGGTCCTGGGATAGAGCCCCATGGTGGGTTCCTGCTCAGTGGAAAGTCTGCTTCTCCTTCTCCCTCTGTCCCTGCCCCTGCTTGTGCACACACTCTCTCTCTCTCAAATAAGTAAATAAAATCCTAAAAAAAAAAAAAAAAAAAAAAAAGACTTGGATATCTTCTTTCATTTAGTCCTGCTCAGAGGTTTTAGGGTTGGTAATTTCTTAAAATTACCTCTAAATGACTCTGTTTCTGATTCTAAGCATTGAGAGTAGGAGAGAAGTCTCCGAGATGAATTTATCAGGTCCTGCTGGCTGTTCACTGCAGAGATATCCCCAAACCAACCTATACCCCATAATCGATTTTAGCTTGCTGAATGTGCCAAAGACAAATTCCTCTGGTGGATATGGCTAAGCTGTTCTGTGTTTGGTTTATATGAAACCATAAGACACGGAGTCTTCTTTCTCTCCATGTGAGTTTTTCTGTTTGGGGTAATTAGTACAGTAGGAGGAACGCACAGCCCATGAAAGGAGAAAGTGATTTACAGATGAAGCAACAACCAAGTACCTTTTCTTCTCTCCTTCCCTGAAGTAGTCTTCCGTGTTACAGCTCCAGGTGACTTTGTAGTCTGGTTCAAAGTCGAACTTCCCTTCTGTCTGACTGTATGGAAAAGAAAAAGATAGGGTTAAAAAAAGAAAAGCCTGTTTAAAGTTGTATAAATAGGTTTTTACACACTTTGCTATTGATTATTTCCTTCATTTTCATACACTTTTGGGCAGAGATATTTCTCATAAGAGGATTATCCGACCCATTGTCAAATCCCATTCACTTCGGTTCAGTACTGTCCTTTCCATGTTGTTCTCCTCAGAGGCTTTAGGAGAGCATGCAACCAAGGAGGCTCCAATTATCGTCCCAAAGGGCCTCATGTACATGCTCCACATTCCACAGCTGCCCTCTATAAAAGTGGCTCCAAATCTCAGATTTGTAAGAGTGTAGCAGAGAGGAACACACTTGGGGTATATATATATATATTTTTTTTTAAATTAGTATGTTTTCTAGAGTCCTTCTAGATTATTCCTTTCCTTTCTCTTGTACTCTACATCCCAAGCATCAGGAAATGGGACAGATGTGACACCTGACCTCCTCTGCTACTGCCCTAGTCACAGTGGGGTGGACCCCTCTCACTTCCCACGGTCACCTCTCACTGGATGACAACAGCCTTCCAATAGGCCTCCCTGCCCACCACCCCCATCCGGGGTATTTGCTATGCAGCTTAAGGGGGTCCTTGTCAAACCAAAATCCTAAATGAGTCCTAACTGCTCCGTCCTTGCTAACAAAGCCCTCAATGCCTCATCTCTGTTACCACCCAGGTACCCTGATGCTCCTTGTGCACAGGCCACAGGGCGTTGTTACGGGCTCTCCTCTCTGTCCTGCACACTCTCCCCACTTACCTCCAGGCTCATCCCTCCCTTCCTGGCTGTGTACGCAAATGCTGTCTTTTTGAGGAGGCCTACATTCAACCATTTATTTAAGATCACACCCCCCCAACCACCTTCCTTCCCCATGCTCCCAAACTTGCTTAACATTTTTTTAAGTCTATTTATTTATGTATGTTTAAGTATCTCTACACCTCATGTGGGGCTTGGACTCCTGAGCCTGAGATCAAGAGCTGCGTGCTCTTCTCACTGAGCCGGCCAGGCACCCCTCGACATTTTCTCTTTGCCATAGCAATTATCACCTTCCAACAAACGGTAGCATGTGTATGTATGTTTATTATGCCCTTTAAAAGTTGTCTACCTTTTGCCACCTCATATGTGAACAATCCAGGCACACACCCATGCACACACAAGCACAAGCACACTGCATTCCGAGCCCCTCCCTCAGAGGCAAGGATCTTTGTTCTCTACCCTAATGTATCCGAAGCACCAGGAAGTGTACTTGGCATATATTAGGAGAGACACAAGTGCACACATACATGCATGCACGCATGTGCGTGCGCACACACACACACAACGAAAGAAGGAGCATCAATACTAAGATTGCATTTTACACATTATAACAATTAAGGACAACTTGTCATTGGCTCATGAGGCATTTGGTCCTCTCTGTCAGCAACGGGGAGCCACTATGCCTGACTCGGGCAGGCAGTGACTGGGAGATCTAGGAGAAGCTCACAGAACAGAAGAGAAAAACCAAACATGTGGGCCTTTAGAACAGTGGCCTCAAAACATTTTTTGCTTTCCTTACATCCTAGAGGAAGATCGAAAAGTATTGATATATACTATGTTGTATGGTTTTAGGTTGGTGTCTAAACTCCGTGTGTAAATTTGGTGTCTGGTGAGAGCCTCTTCCTGATTCACAGGCGGCCGTCTTCTCATTATAACCTCACAGGGCAGAAAGGGTAAGGGGGCTCTCTGGGCTCTCCTCTATGAGGGCATTAATCCTGTTCTGGGAGAGCTCTGCCCTCATGACCTAATCACCTCCAATGGCCCCAACTCCTAAACCATCACCTTGGAGATTAGGACTTCAACATCTGAATGGAGGAGGACATAACATTCATTCTAGAGTACTCTTGTTTCAAGACAAGAGTTGTAAAGGACAGGGACTAGGGTAGTTCCAGGGGTCTGGCAAGATGACCTAAAGCACAGATTATTGAGAGTGGGGTGTCAGGGCTTAGGTCCAACCCCCACGTGTGGCCAGGAGAAGGCTGGTAATATCCTGTAATTATCTTTTTGCATCCTATGCCTCTTTTTTCATTTATGACTACCCTGCCAGCTAAGAAGTGAAGTCAAAATGGGAAAACCAAATTTGCCTGAGCAGAGGTCTATCAATCCAGCTTTGAAACAGAAGATAATTTTACTCTATACAGGTATGTATGTTACTGTTATGGACTAAATGTTTGTATGCCCCAAATATTCATATGTTGAGCCCCCAGTGTGGCAGTGTGTAGAGATGAGGCCTCTGAGGAAGTAATTAAGGTTAAATGAGGTCATAAGGGTAGGAACCTGATCAGATAGGATTAGTGTTCTTATTAGAGAGACGCCCGAGAGCAGTCTCTCCCTCTGCTTACACACACCTGAAGGCACAGCAAGAGGGTGCCCTCTGCAGGCCCGGAAGAGAGCTCTCACCAGGAACAGAATCAGCGAGCACCTTGATGTGGGACTTCTAGCTTCCTGAATTGCATAAAAATAAATTTGTTTTAGCCACCCAGCCTATGATATTTTGTTATGGCAGCCAGCGCAGACTAATACAGTTACCCAAAAGAATGCAGAATTGCTAAAATGTACCAGCTGACCCGCCTAAAAATCAAGGTTCAAGTGAATGAATAACAAGAGGACCTTCAAAGAGGTTTTGTGCGCTGTTGACCACAGGGCCCAGCCCAGCTGCAGCAGCTTCCACCCTGGCCGGGGTTGCTGTGAAGAACGCCAGGGCAGGCGCTCTCTGAGGTCAGCTCTGATCCTGGCTTGTTTGGCTCTCTGGGAAAACAAATCCAGAACCCTTAAAATCTAATGCTCTTTTTGGGCAGAAAGCACTTGAACCACCAGAATAGGAGACCTCCGTGTTTCCTTCCTGCGTCCTCCTTGTCACTTCTTTGCCTTTCCAATCCCACACCTCACACCTCTTCTTGCCTGCCATATACCAATCCCTTGAGACACTGCTTTTATATTTCCAATTCTTTCTTCTTCTTTTACGATTTATTTATTAATTTGAGAGAGTGACAGAGCATGCACACTCACATGGGGCGCACACACAAGTTGGAGGAGGGGCAGAGGGAGAAGCAGACTCTCTGCTGAGTGAAGAGCCAGACTTGGGGCTCCATCCCATGACCCAGAGATCATGACCTTAGCCGAAGTCAGATGCTTAACCGACTGAGCTATCAGGTGCCCCTCCAATTATTTTTCTTAAAAATCACAGATTCACTTGGTTATTTAGATCCTGAAATTACAATATAGAGCTTCATAAATAGGGCCGTGGCTTTTTGCAGTATTGACGGTAAAAACAGGAGAGGGAAAGTCATGTTTGGATAGCAAACATTGTTTTCCAGCTTCTTTTTGGTATATTTATTGGGTTGGTTGAGATATCAAATTCAACAAATAACCTATAAAATTCTGATTCCATGAAAGTTCCTAAATGGAGGATAACTATTGTATTTACAAATCTCTCATAGTTACAAGTTCTTTGCACTCACTTCCACAAAGTAGCCTTGACTCCAGCTTTTTTTTTTTTAATAGTACAAGTCAGTGAATACTTTGTGTCTTCAGATAAAATTAACATATAACATTATATTAGTTTCAGGTGTGCAACATAATGACCTGATATGTCCACTACGGTAAATTAGTTAACATCCATCACAACACATAGTCACAAATTCTGTTTCTTGTGATGAGAACTTTTAAGATCTACTCTCTCGGCAACTTGTTCTTTTTCGGATTTTATTTTTTAAGTAATCTCTCCACCCCACATGGAGCTCGAACTTAACAATCCTTGAGGTCAAGCGTGGCATGCTCCACCAACTGAGCCAGCCAGGTGCCCCTCAGCAACTTTCAAATATACAATATATTTAACTGGGGTCCCTATGCTGCACGTCAGCCTTGAGCTCCTTATCTTCATTTTTTCCACTAAGTAGAGTGACTGTGTTCACCAACATGCCTGAAGTTTACTCTCCTGGGAAAAGGCTGTTGTTATAATAATGGCAATGGTAATGACAATAATTAATGTCCCTCAATAACTTAAGATGTGCCAGGCATTATGCTAACTGCTTTATATTACACCACTTACTCCTCAATGAACACTATTAGGTGGTTATGTTTATTTTGTAGCTGAGGAAGCTAAAGTTAGATCAATTTGATAATCTGCCCAAACAAATGTACAGCTGGGGTAGGATCTGAACCCAGGTCTGATTCTAAGTCTGTGCTACTAGCCACTTGCTATCATTTCTGATAACAATGATTAAAAGTAGTCAGCTTTAAAATGTGTCATCAAGGTGTGTATTAGGGGATCTATTAAAACAAATGATAAACCTTTTAAAAGGGAGTAAGCAGGGACGACTAGATGGCTCAGTGGTTGAGTGCCTGCCTTTGGCTCAGGTCATGATCCCGGGGTCCTGGGATCGAGTCCACATCAGGCTCCCCACCAGGAGCCTGATTCTCCCTCTGCCTATGTCTCTATCTCTCATGAATAAATAAATAAAATCTTTAAAAACAAAACAAAAAGGGAGTAAGCAACTCTTGTTCTTGTCTGTCTTGTATCTATCCTCCTCATCTGTTTACTTCTTTGAGGGGACTGCCACTCCCCTGCCCAGCAAATCATGTGATCCTGGTTTGGCTGCCATCAGAACCCTCCACCCCTCTCCCAGGGGGGTGTGGGATCAGTCCTGGCCAATAACAGTTTAGCATATCTGGGCTGCAGGGACTGGTCCAAGAGGTATGTATGTGACCCAAGGAGGACCAGTGAGAGCCCTCGTGTGGGATCTGACTCATAGTCACTGGGAGTAACATAATCACTGGTTCTGAGGATTAGGGCACACATTGTTGGGGGTCCATTATTCTGCTCTCATTCATACTCAGGAAGAAGAATTTCCCCTGACCATGGGGAAGCTCACTTTTAATCGCAATAGTCTCCTTCTTTTAGGTAGTTCCAAAGAGCATAGGGCCAGTTCCCAAGCACTTACCCTGCAGCTGCTGAGGGGGGCTCTTGGGGACTGGTGGGGATGTGGCCGGCTGGTCTCTCCCCTGCATCTCTGCATACTCTGCTATGGGTCTGAGGAGAGCCACAGCTCCAGAGCACTGTAAGTAATTGCCGTCAAGGTGCAGCTCACTGGGGAAGGGTGACATACACAGTTCATTTGATGTTATTTTCACTTCTGCAAATTTGGGTTTGAGGTCTTCACCTCATAAAATAATAGACCTAGTTATAAAATAATAAATAAATAATCATAATAGATAACAGGCCACATTGTAATAAAAAAAAATAGACCTAGTGACCAGGTCACTGGGCCAAAAACACGCATTTAGCATGATATCCTTGATTCCCAAAAGTAACTAGAGGATCTTTCTCTTGTAATTAAGAAAAGGAAAACAAAAATAACCAGAGGGTAGAAAAAGATGACTAAAAGCACAGTGAAAAGTCAGGGGAATTCATGGGTGAGTGGATTCTGTAAATAAGCTGGTTATAAAACTCAAAACAGAACAGAGCCAGAGGCAGGAAGGGAGAGCAGGGGATACATCTCACCAAATGGAGCTCTGGCTTATGATAGCACCGAGCCGTGGCCCGCTCTGTGGCCCCAGACCACAGTAGCGCAGACTGAGGACTTGAAGCCTTTGGTTGTGCTCCAGGCCTGAGAAAATACTCTCAATTTCTTCGTTTCCAAACCTAGAAGGAAATGATGGGAACCAATTAGTGACTTTTAAAACCTATGTCACCTGTTGGGTTGTTCATTTTAAGGTACTCCCTAGGACAGATGAGGTTTTACCAATCCTTACTTTGGGTATCCACGGCCAGGGCTGGCTATGGGGGTGGGTTGGGAAACTGAGGGGCTAGCCTGGGTGTGGAGGAAGGGGGACCCAGAATCTGTCTCCTGGGCAAAGGGAGCAGAGCATGGTTTGAAGTGCCCACTCAAGGAAGCAGATAGAGAGCGAGCTCTGGATCCTGAAGACAGGAGAGATTGCCCAGCTGGCAGGGATGAAGGGGTCTGGGAGGGCCCCAGCAGTAGGAGGCTGTGTAAGGAGGGAGCCTTATGTCCAGAGCAGATTCTGGGAAAGTTCAATCTCTTGGCCCTCCTTCCTGGCCCTGTGCTGTTCTTCATCTCATATCACCTAGTCCTTAGACTTTGCAAAGAGAAGTCACAGGCATCGTGCCAGCTCAGCACAGCCCTCTGGGTATGGGTTTTAGGTCAGGATACCGAGTATCGGTGAGGTCAAGGGATGTCTTCAGGGAATTTGGAATGTCAAGGTCTGAACTTTCAAATAAAGTATGTCGAATTAACAGAAATAACTTCTTAAATTGACTAATTCATCCAACAAGTAATTACTGAAGGCAGCTACTGTGGTGGGTGTGGGGATGCAGCTGCAGTCGAGAAAGGGCATCCTGCCTGATGGATTTCACAGCCTCACAGAGGAAACAGAGGGAAGTCCCCAGAGGTGGGTAACCTGAGGTGTCAGTGGTGATCCCCAGCCACCCAACCCCGACGACTCTAGGTACCTTGACAATAGTAGGATTTCAACTGATAATGAAAATAAGCTGGGGCACCTGGATGGCTCAGTCAGTTAAGCATCCAACTCTTGACTTTGGCTCATCTCTTGATCTCAGGGTTGTGAGATCCAGCTCTGCGCTGGGCTCCGTGCTCAGCACAGAGCCTGCTTGAGATTCTTTCTCTCCATCTATCGCCACCCCCCACTAAATAGATAAATAAAATATTTTAAAAATAAAACAAGCTGTTTCCAAATGATGGGGATCCTTTTTTCTTCCGTCTTCCTGCCAGCATAGGTCTCTGGATCCAGCACAGGAGCTGGAGTCTAGAAGGGTCTCACCATGGGGGCTGGTTCTGCCCAGCGCAGTGTGGGAAGCTGGGAGACTCCTAGGCCAATCCTCAGTCACTGCAGGATGTCCTGAGAACACTGGCCTTCTGCTGTCCTGGGTTAGGAGACCCTGACTGAGGCTCCTCCAAGCATCTCAGAAACATGGAGAATCTCCAGGGATAATCCCTCTCCTAGCTTTTGCTGATAGACTTGTCCACTGTCCACTGTCCACTTGTCCACTTGTCCACTGTCCACCAGGGCCCTAATAGGATCCTAGCTCCTGTGTCACTGTGGTACCACTTCTCAGGCATGAATCATCTCTTTCACTTCACAGCCCTTCACTGGCCTTCTGAGTACAAGACATCACCTGGCTACAGGGGGAGAGTCACAGAATCAAAGACCTGAGAAGTGGCAGAGATTATCTCATAGATCAGAGAGGTTGCATGACCTATCCCACTCACACAAGCACGTTGAAACTATTTATGGATGGCACACCATAGACCCCCCCACCCCAAGTAATCTAGTGTCACCGATCAGAAGTGGGCTCAGATTCAGACAGCTGGATTCACATCTAGGCTCCATCCATAAGAGCTGAATGGCCTTGAACAAGCCAGTTAATCCCCCTGAGTCCTTCCTCATCCATATATAGTCAAAGGATAGAAATGGTACATATCTGTCATTATATATCATACATCCATATGTAGTGGAATATATCCATCTATTATTGGGAGAATAAATGAGATAAACCATCTGCTGTGCTTGGCACACAGCACTCAATAACAATTGGCTGATATTATCATTATTATTATTATCACCCCCTGAATCCTCCCCTGACAGACTGGTGCTGCAGCCCTCTGAAAGACTTGCTCTCTTCTTTCCCAGCACCATACCTCCTCCTTCCTTCCCACCTCCTCTTCTGGTACATGATGGACTGTCCCATAGGGGATCCTGGTTACCCTTATCCAAACCACCACTAATATTTATATGGACATTCCTGCTGACATTCAGACTTTCTGCCTTGCATAATCCGTAATCTAGAGCATGTCAACTTTCCTCTACTATACCTTGCTCAGTGGTATTGCTTTATGTGTATTCATCTTCATTAGCAAAGAGCACAGTGTCTTGCACAAACAAGCCATCAACAAATATTTGTTGACAGAATAAATGAATAAAAAGAAAGGAAGGAAGAAGGAAAGAAAAAGAAAAGGGCTCACCTGCAGTAATCAAGGACAAGAGAATGCAGACAACTGCCTAGCAGAGCCCTCCCGAGTCTCCGGAGAGACCACAGATCCATCCTGCAATCAATGAGCTCCAGGCTGGTAAATGGGCAGGCACGGCCCTTCAACTCCAGAAGCGAAGCCTAAGAACATAGGGTAGGAAACAGTGCTCACACAAGGAAGACAAATACACTCCGTGTTTTAATGTAACCTAAAAGTCCATTATGTTCATTACCTCCAGAGTTTTGCCTTTAAGACAATTTTCTAATTCCCCCAAGAAGAAAGTGGCTTGAAAGTAAAATAATTGCCATTTCAAAGGAAGACTCTGAAGAATTAAGTGGGAGATACCAAGCTTTATGATGAGATGAGATATATTGTAGCATATCTTTGTAGATATTATTAGGGGCTGAATTGTGTCGATGGCAAGTGGGCAGAAGAAGGGCCAGATGCCATCAAAACTCCTCCTGTTTAGGCACCAGCTGTTAGAGGAAAATCATCCTCACACTTTCCAGATACTTCAGACTTGTCCTAGATACTGCACTAAGACATTTTGGCTACACTGAGTTACATAAAGGTTATTATTTTATTTGGGAGTCAGGAAACAATAAACATGTTCCCCTCTTGGAATGACAGCCTTCTATTTTTTTTTAAGATTTTATTTATTTATTCATGAGAGACACAGGGAGAGAAGCAGAGACACAGGCAGAAGGAGAAGCAGGCTCCACGCAGGGAGCCTGATGCAGAACTTGATCCCGGGTCTTTGGGATCACGATCTGAGCGAAGGCAGATGCTCAACTGCTGAGCCACCCAGGCATCCCTGGAATGACAGCCTTTTAAAAGGCTGACATACAACAGGTATGACATACAACAGTTTGATTGACATACAACAGGTCAATCAAATCCTTTCTTTGGATGCCTCCGAATAAAAATAATAATAATATCCACTTGAGATAATGGAATTAAAGGGCATTTACCTCATTAAAAAAATTCATATGTTAAAAAAAAATTCATATGTTGAAGTCTACTCATATGTTGAAGTCCTAACCCCTCGTACCTCAGAGTGTGACTGTATTTGGAGACAGGGTCTTCAAAGAGGTATTTAAATTAACATGAGGTCTTTGGGGTAGGCCCTAACTCAGTAGGACTGGCTTTCTTAGAGGAAGGAAATCTGGACCCAGACACATACAAATGGAAGACAATGTGAAAACACAGGGAAAAGGTGGCCGATAACAAGCCAAGGAGAGAGGCCTCAGAAGACACCAACCCTGCTGACAGTGAGCTCAGACCTCTAAGCCTTCATAACTGTGAGGAAATAAATTTCTGTTGTTTAAGCCATGCACCCTGTGGTACTTTGTTATGGCAGCCCACTCAGACTAACACAGATGTTGATATTCTCACACATTTATCCTCCTATGGTTGTGTTCTTTTCAATAGAGAAGTGTCACCATGCCAACCTCTTTATAACTAGGCAAAAATTAGAATAGATAAATTACTTCCTAAATAATTTATATTCGTTGTTACAGGTATTAGGATTTAGAGGTCTGCTCAGAACTATACCATGCAGGGACGCCTGGGCGGTTCAGTCAGTTATGAGTCGGACTCTTGATTTTGGCTCAGGTCATGGTCTCAGGGTCATGGTTTTGGGGTCCTGGGATTGGACCCCACGTGGAGCCCTGCATGGAGCCCAATATCTCCATGCTCAGAGGGGGAATCTGCTCTCCTTCTCTCTGCTCCTCCCCTTGCTTGCTCTCTCTCTCTAAAATAAATAAATAAATAAATAAATAAATAAATAAATAAATAAATAAACGAACTCAACCATGCAAATTCAGCAACAAGGTGCTTCTCATGGTGAAGCCACAGGACTGGGGGTAGCATGTGAACATTTGGAACCATGTCAAGTTCTCTCAGTCTCCTGAATGGAGGGGTCTATGGCAAGGTCATTTCTTGTGGTAACAAAACAATCCCAGTAACAATTAAATCCCTACCTAACTGACAGAAGGAGGTATTTAAAGCTACAAATCACAATGGCCACCTTTTAGCAATTAGAATCACCACAACCTAAGGATCTCTTCAGTTCAGAATTTAAACCTAAAAGAGGATTTGGTAGGGTTTGGAAGATTTAGGGTTTCCTGAGGTAATGATATGTTGGTCAGAGATAGGGTTCCAAATTATACCTTGGCTGAGAATATAAGAGCCCATGCGGCCTTAACTACAGAGCTGGCATTTGAGGTCTGTTTCATGAGAAAACATCTAGTTTAAGTGCTGGATTGGATTTCTCAAGCTGTGTTTCTGACGGAGGAGGCAATGTGGCACACCACTGCCTATGGTAACGCTGGTCTGTGAAAGACAGGCTGTGGACCAGGTCCTAAAGATCTCAACCAGTGGTTTGCAGTGTCACTCCCAGGGGCACTAGCACTGCTGTGGGCAAGACCACAGCCATCTACCACAGAATTCCTCAACAGTCTTCAGGTTACCAAGAGGGCCACATTATAAGGAACTGTGAGGGATCACTTTTCACATACATGGACAGCATTCCATGTCCTGCTTAAATGGACGCTTTTAATGAACACAACTAAAAATTCTGGTTATGTATTTAAGTTACCTTTTTAAAATTTATTTTTAATTATGGTCAAATACACATATAAAATTTACCATCTAAATCATTTTAAGTGTACAGTTCAGTGGCATTAAATATATTAATATATTAACCTTGTTGTACAACCCTCAACACTATCCATCTCCAGAAGTTTTTTCATCTTGTAAAACTCAAATTCCGTACCCATTAAAAAATAACTCCCACTCTCTCCTCCCCCACAACATCTAGCAATCGTCATTTTATTTTCTTTCTCTATGAATCTTACTACTCTAGGTACTTCCTATAGTACAATGATACAGTATTTGTCCTTTTGTGACTGACTTATCTTACTTAGCATAAGTTCCTCAAGGTTCATATATGTAGCATGTGTCAGAATTTCCTTCCTCTTACAGGGTGAATAATATTCTATTGTATTTTGCTTTCCACTCATCTGTTAATGGACATTTGGATTGCTTCCACCTGTGGCTATTGTTGAATAATACTACCATGAAGATAAGTGTACAAATATCTCTTTGAGATCTGGTTTTCAATTCTTTTGGGTAAATATCCAGAAGTGGAATTGCTGAATCATATGGTAATTCTACTTTTAATTTTTTAAGGAACTTCCATCCTGTTTTCCATAGTGGCTACACCAATTTACATTCCCACCAAGAGTGCGCAAGTTTTCCAATTTCTCCACATCCTGTCAACACATGATTTTTTGCTTTTTTTGTTAGTAGCCATACTAGTTGACATGAGGTAGTATCTCACTGTAGTTTTGATTTGCATTCCCCTAAATATTAGTGATGTTGAACATCTTTTGTCCACTTTGTGGGTTGCCTTCTCACTTAGTTGATTGTGTCCTCTGATGCAGTTTTACATTTTGGTGTCATCCAAGTCATCTAGTTTTTCTTTTGTTGCCTGTGTTTAGTGTCATATATATCACTGCTAAATCCAACATCATTAAGCTTTTCCTTTACGGTTTCTTCTAAGAGGTTTAAAAATATCACTTTAAAAAATGTGTGTTGACCGGATAGTGAGGAATACCCAAAGATCAAAGCATGAGGGAAAGCGGGAACCTAGAGCAGTACACAGGGCACTGAAGCCAGCTTTCCCTTTGAGAGCACCAGTAAAGCAGTGGAGTCAAGTTTTGGTTTTCATGGGACATGGAGTCCAGGGGACAGTAAAGCCCAAAACCACTGGAGGCAAGGAGTCCAAGATAAAATATTGCATACAGGTGTGGCTCAAAACAGAGTGAGCTATATAGCACTATGCCCTGAGAGTAAGGATGAACTAGAAATAAATCTAACTCTCCCTTCCCCAGGGAAAATTGACTATCTCAAACTGAGACTGAGTACACAGAAAGAAAAAAAAAAAATATATATATATATATATCCCCTGTGAACTCACAAGCTAGTCTTTTTTTTTTTTTAAGTATTTTATTTATTTATTCATGAGAGACACAGAGAGGCAGAGACACAGGCAGAGGGAGAAGCAGCCTCTCTGGAGCCTGATGCAGGACTCCATCCCAAGACCACAACCTGAGCCAAAGGCAGATGCTCAACCACTGAGCTGCCCAGGTGCCCCAAAACAAGGGATTTTTAAACAGGCAAGAGACTAGAAAAATGGGCACTAATGCCTTCTCCCAATTTCTACCTCCTCCCTTCTCCCTAAAAGTAATTTTATTTTATTTTATTTTTTTTAAATTTTTTTTTTTTTTTTTTTATTTATGACAGTCACACACAGAGAGAGAGGCAGAGACACAGGCAGAGGGAGAAGCAGGCTCCATGCACCGGGAGCCCGACGTGGGATTCGATCCCGGGTCTCCAGGATCACGCCCTGGGCCAAAGGCAGGCGCCAAACAGCTGCGCCACCCAGGGATCCCTAAAAGTAATTTTATGATAATCAAACATTATAGTTTTACCTGTTTTTTAACTTTATAAAATGCACTATACAGTATGTATTCCATTGTGTCTCTCTTTGTTTGCATAACATTATGATTATGTGAGTCATCATATTTTATTTTTGTATAGCTATAGTTGATGCATTTTTATTGCCATATACTTTTCTTTTTTAAGATTTTATCTATCGGGGCACCTGAGTGGTTCAGTGGTTGAATGTCTGTCTTTGGCTCAGGTCATGATTTCAGGGTCCTGGGATCAAGTCCCACATCAGGCTCTCTGCAGCGAGCTTACTTCTCCCTCTGCCTCTCTCTCTGTGTCTCTCATTTTTTTTAAAGATTTTATTTATTTATTCCTAAGAGGCACACACACACAGGCATCTGCCTTTGGCTCAGGTCGTGATCCTGGGATTCCAGGATCAAGGCCCACATCGGGCTCCCCTAAGGGAGCCTGCTTCTCCCTCTGCCCATGTCTCTGCTTCTCTCTCTGTGTATCTCATGAATAAATAAACAAAATCTTTAAAATATAAAATAAAATAAAATGTGTGACTCACCAGTCTGGCAATCTCTGGGTTGCTCAGTTGAAGGCTCCAGATACAAATCTCTTTCCCCAGCATATAACACTCATCTTGAATTGTGATGAGCAAAGGTTCCAAGGAAATTGGTAGGGTGCTTGGTGGGGAGTCTCTAGGTCTTACGAGCATAAACTGGAGTGTCAGAAAAAAAGTACAGGTGGAAGTCATAAAGACATGTCCATGCATCTGAATGTGTAAAGAAATAATATTGTCATCAGACATCATTAGAACATTTAAAAAAGTAATTAACTTTGGATCACATGTGCATTGAGGTGTTAATTCAACAGAAACTTATAAGCTCTTGCCATATGCAAAGGTAATCTCACAGGGCACAGGTTTTTCCCTCAGATTACTATTCATTATTGGGTTAGGAAATCAATTAAGTAAGCTGTAATCAGTTTTTTTCTTTATTTCTTTAATGAAATAGAAAATGAGAGAAATTATCTGAGTGTATCCTGTGTAGTAAAAAATAATTGTCTCACAAGACTTTTATTTTAGAGATGTTCAAAACCAAAATGGAGACCCAACCAAAGCAATCCATCCAACATAAACAGCCCATATGGTCTTATGATTCACACCAGCACTTATACTTTGGGTCATGATGTTATTTGTATTTCTGATAGTAACTGTAATTTAAAGTGTTTAGAAAACATTACTGAAGGGACTATAAATTTGAACAGGGTTTATGATGAGCTCTTATCATTAAGTAGTAGAGGCTAATTATAAGGAGTAGAAAAAAATAATGTAATGATTTTACACAAAAAAGATGGCTGAGAAGCTCTTGCATTGGGATGAGCAGAGAGATGTATGGGGGAGTGCAGAGAAGCTACTAACTGCATGAGAAGGAATCAGAAAGACCTAGGTGGGCAGAGGGGGGAACAAGAGAGACTAAGAGAAGTAGCTAGGGAAAGACCAAAGGGTCGAGAGGAAAGGGAGGCGGAAGTTTGGGCAAAATAGATGGTTAGGGAGGACTTTCAGAGGTTCTTTTTACGTGGGGTACAAAGTAATCATCCTCCCATCTTCCAACAACATTCATTAAAAACATGGGTAGGATGGAGTTGGGTCAACGTCACCTTAAAATAATGATTTTTTTAAAAGCACCCATCTCAAAAAAAAACAAAACACAAAAACAAAACAAACAAACAAAAAGCACCCATTTCTAACTACTTTAATTTATTCTCCTGTTTAACCCTCAGCATTTTAGGATATCAGTAGGTGCTTGATTATTAAACACAGACTGTCTTTCTGGGCTGGCAAGAGAAAAGTTGGAGAGCAGGCCGGTCTGTCTTTGGGTGCAAGGCTCCACCTTCTGGACCAGCAGGCACCTCTTCCCAAGAGTAAACCATAGAGTTTCAGTGCTGACCTCTCTTCTTTTCCCCCCACCAACCGATCCCTAGATTTAATCTCAGAAAAGATATGACACCTAACTTTTTTTCTGAAAGCCTGTATTTTTGGGGTCAGAATCATGCGTTTGCTGCTCATCTCACTCCAAGCGAGAGGGGAAGCGTGGGTGAGTGCGGGTCTGGCCTGATGCCACGGACACATGAGCTGTCAAGGGAAGCAGACATTCACTTGGAGGGGTCATGTAGGGTGGCTGGGGTGCTGGGCACGGATGTCCTGCAATGATGCCAAAAATGTGCTTTTGAGCTGGGCTTTCCAGATGTAGAGCAAGAGGGGTGGGTTGGCTATTCCAGATGTGAAGTGGTGTGAGGAAAGGCAGGCCTGCTGGAAGGACTGGAATGGGTAGACTGGGAGGCAGGAGCAGTAATGTAGAAGTGCTGGGATGTCTGGATGGCTCAGCAGTTGAGCATCTGCCTTTGGCTCAGGGCATGATCTTGGAGTCCCCGGATCAAGTCCCATATCGGGCTCCGTGTGTGGAGCCTGCTTCTCCCTCTGCCTGTGTCTGCCTCTCTCTCTGTGTGTGTGTGTGTCTCTCATGAATGAATAAATCTTTTAAAATTCTAAAAAAAAAAAAAAAAAAAAAAGGAATGTAGAAGTGCTGAGGAATGCAGAGAGAGCAAGACCACCAGTTAGGGCCTCAGAAGACTGAGGACCCGGGTTCCTGGGGGGGTAAACCCTAGTCAGTTCATTTCAGAAAAGAATAAGGAAAAGAGGCCACACACTCACTCTCCTAAGAATCCGTTCATTGTTGATGCTGGTTTTCAAGTCCTGTTTGATGGCTGGACAGACAGAAGTCTGAGTCTGTGCACAGTGCTTCTCGTATGCTTTCAGGAACTTTTGAAGAATTGGAATGATGGGCAGGGGTGTTCCTTTAGTTTTTTGTTTTCCCTCCTTTTCTCTTGGCATTGTTTCAGTTAGATTACACCTGGACTCTGGAAATAACACCTTTCCCCAAAACCCAATACACAGATGTCTTTTTAAGGAGCAGATCACATCTCCCCACTAAAAATTGGCAAATACTGCTGCACACTCTTCTCTGAAAATCTTTTTTTTTAAAAGATCTTATTTATTTATTCATGAGTGACACAGAGAAGCAGAGACATAGGCAGAAGCAGGCTCCTCATGGGGAGCCCAATGTGGGAATCGGTCCCAAGACCCCGGGATCATGTCCTGAGCCATAGGCAGATGCTCAACCACTGAGCCACCCAGGCGTCCCTTCTCTGAAAATCTTAAAGTGCCTCAAGTATCTTAAAATGGGAGTAGGGAATCAAGACAGAGACAGGTGAGCAGAATTGTTCAATTTCCAGTCTTTATATTCATGGATCAATGTTCTTTTAGATTCTTTAAAATGGGGCAGTACCCATGGAACTCAGTTATAAAGGAATACAACTAACATTAATGGTGGGCACTAAATGTCACCAAAGACATATTGCTTTTAAACTGGCGCAGTTCTCTTTATAGACATAATTCTTGCCAGGCACCATATCCACAGTGGGTAAGAACGTTGAGCTTTGAAGGGGAACAGACCTGGATTTTTGTCTTGTCTCCACCACTTGACTCACTGGGGTGGCCTTAGGTATTCTGTGAAGCCTCTTCTATTTCTCCATCTGTAAAATGGATTATGGTTGTCACAAGGACTAATTAAGGTAAGTTTATAAAGCACTTAGCACAATGCCTGGCACATAGTGAAAGGCTCAATAAACTTTATTAGTACTATTGAGGTTATTAGTATTTTGCTGGCCACAGGCAGTCACGCAACCTGTATTGACTTGTCCTTTCAATCACCCAGCCTTGAAAGGACCCTCCATGTGATAATGTCACCAGCTAGACCCGAAGACCTGACCTTCACTGCCCACCTGCTTGTACTCACTAACCTTTGTCTTAACATTTTTCCTTAAGCTCTTCTTTCCAGCTTACCTCTTAACTCAGGCAAATGAAACCAAAACTACCCCTCAGGTGATGGCAACTGCCCTGGCAACACCTCCCACTGGCCCACACCACCCAGACTGTTTGAGCTAAACACCTGACTCACTTCTGCTCAGATGGACTGGGGAGTGACCTCTGGAATGACTGGCAATGGCCTTTACCTCATTATAATACTAAAATCTCCTCCCAAGAAAGAGCACAAGCCTCATTTACAAAACATACAGTGTAAACATAGGCATGTTTCCTTGAGGCACTTGCGGGACCTTACGCCTGCCTCTACATCCCATGACAAGGCCTCCCTACCTAAGTATTCATCTTAACCCTAAACAAAAGGAACCCATTTGTTGTCTCTCTCTTGGGGAGTCCAGCTTTGAAAGCTATCTCCTGTGGTCTCCTTATTTCCTGCAAATAAGGTTTACTTTGTGTGACAACTCCACCTGGTGTATCTGTGACTCACCCAGGAGCTAACTCACGTTGGTATGGTTACGGTAACTAAAGGTGATGGTTGGGTCTCTGAACTGGGTTCTTAGAGACAAAGGTTTATGGGAATTAAGAGGCCTTGTTTCAAGAGGAACCAGTTTGAATCCTGTGTCTGTCAATTGTTAGCCGACTGACCGTGGGTAATTAACTTCATCTCTCTGAACCCCATTTTCTTCATCTGTGAAAATGGCCGGAATATAACCTCTTTGGTATTTTTGAGGATTTAACGCAAATTAAGTGTCAAGTTTTATTCCTCAGTAGCATGGGGATGATGATGGATGATGATGATGATAAAGAATTGTTATGAGGGGGATCCCTGGGTGGCGCAGCGGTTTGGCGCCTGCCTTTGGCCCAGGGCGCGATCCTGGAGACCTGGGATCCAATCCCACGTCGGGTTCCTGATGCATGGAGCCTGCTTCTCCCTCTGCCTGTGTCTCTGCCTCTCTCTCTCTCTCCCTGTGTGACTATCATAAATAAATAAAAATTAAAAAAAAAAAAGAATTGTTATGAGGAATAATTAATTAGTATGTGATGGATACTCAGAACAGAGCCTGGCACATAGTGAATGCTCAGGGGGAAACCTGAGGCCTAGTGAGGGAAGTGGTTTGCCTAAGGGTAACCAGTGCAGCTGGGATTCAAATTCAGGCAGCCTGCCTCTACAGCCCAAATTCTTAGCCACTCTAACATACCATCTAGAAGGTACTGCTACAGACTGAATGTTTTCATTTCCCCCTCAAATTCTTACATTGAAGGCCAGCCCCCAGTGTGATGGTATTTGTTGATAGGGTCTTTGGGAGGTGATCAGGGTTAGATGAGGACATAAAGGCGGGTCTCCCATCATGGGATTAGTGCCATTATAAGAAGAGACACAGAGTGGGGTGCCCGGCAGCTCAGTTGGTTGGGAGACCGACTCCTGATTTTCTGAGGTCATGACCTCAGTCATGATCTCAGGGTCATGAGATTGAGCCCCAGGTCAGGCTCCACTCTCAGCCTAGAGTCAGCTTGAGATTCTCTTCCTCTGCCTCTCCTCCTACTCGCATGCTCTTTCTTTATCTAAACAAACAAACAAATAAATAAATGAAATCAGAAAGAAAGAAAGAAAGAAAGAAAGAAAGAAAGAAAGAAAGAAAGAAAGAAAGAAAGAAAGAAGAAAGAAAAAGAGACACCAGAGAGCTTATTTTGCCTCCCTTGAGATGGCTGCTACCTCCCTTTCTCTTGGCTGCTACAAGCCAAGAGAAAAGGCTCCAAGCCCAGCTACTTACTGGCACCTTGCTCTTGGATTACTGGAGTCCCCAGAAGTGTAAGAAGTGGATTTCTGTTGGTTAGGCCACGGGTCTCTGGTATTTCCTCAAGGCAGCCCAAGTTAAGATTGATACTGTATATATTACTGTTCACAGTATAAAGTATTTCTCACCAAACTTTTCTGGGTCTTTACAGGAGCACAAACTACACCCAGAATATTCTATGAATACTCTACTAAGACCCTCCTAGGGCAGCCCGTGTGGCTCAGTTGTTTAGCACCGCCTTCAGCCCGGGGCCTGATCCTGGAGACCCGGGATCGAGTCCCACGTCGGCTCCCTGCATGGAGCCTGCTTCTCCCTCTGCCTGTGTCTCGGCCTCTCTCTCTGTCTCTCTCTTGTGAATAAATAAATAAAATCTTTTTAAAAAATTAAAAAAAGACCCTCCTAAATCTTGAGCTTTTCACTTAATATTTGACCACGAACATTTTTTTTGTATATTTTTTTTTTACTGGAGTTCGATTTGCCAACCTGTAACACCCAGTGCTGATCCCGTCCAGTGCCCCCCTCAGTGCCCGTCACCCAGTCACCCCAGGGGCATCTCCTGGTCGTGTCCACCGACAGTAACGCGGGGCTGGGCCACCCGGCCGCCTCCCTAAGGAACACTCGGTGGAGGCCTGAGGGCAGGTGCCCCACCCTCCGCTGACTCTCGGGGACTGGGGGCTTGGGGACGGCGGGGCGAGGACCTCGGGGAGGGAGGAGGGGCAGGAGGGCACGTGCTCCAGGCGGGAGGGCAGCACAGCTCCCCCGGGGCCGCTGCCCACCCAGCTCCGGGTCGGAGTCTCGGGGAGGGGGGGGAGGCCGAGGCGGGGCCGCTCCCCGCTCCCTCCTCCAGCACTCCGGCACCGCAACAACCCGGCACCTCCCGGAGCCGCGCTGGCCCGCACCCCGCAGCCTCCCGCCGCCGGCGCCGCGCACTCACGGGGCTCCCGGTCCCCACGTCCGTCCCTCGCCGGCCCGCTTCCCGCGTGCGCCCCGCGCCATGGAGACCGGCCGGGGCAGGAGGGCGGGGGCTGGAGGGGGCTGGAGGGGCTGGAGGGGGCGGGGCTGGAGGGGGCTGGAGGGGGCTGGAGGGGCTGGAGGGGGCGGGGCTGGAGGGGGCTGGAGGGGGCTGGAGGGGCTGGAGGGGGCGGGGCTGGAGGGGGCTGGAGGGGGCTGGAGGGGCTGGAGGGGGCTGGAGGGGCTGGAGGGGGCGGGGCTGGAGGGGGCTGGAGGGGCTGGAGGGCCTGGAGGGGCTGGAGGGGGCTGGAGGGGCTGGAGGGGGCGGGGCTGGAGGGGGCTGGAGGGGCTGGAGGGCCTGGAGGGGCTGGAGGGGGCGGGGCTGGAAGGGACTGGGGGCGGGGCTGGAGGGGGCAAGGCTGGAAGGGACTGGAGGGGGCTGAAGGGGCTGAAGGGGGCGGGGGCTGGAGGGGACTGGAGGGGGCTGGAGGGGACTGGAGGAGGGGGCTGGAGGGGGCTGGAGGGGCTGGAGGGGGCGGGGGCTGGAAGGGACTGGGGGCGGGGCTGGAGGGGGCGAGGCTGGAAGGGACTGTAGGGGGCTGGAGGGGACTGGCGGGGGCGGGGCTGGAAGGGACTGGGGGGGCGGGGCTGGAGGGGGCTGGAGGGGGCGGGGCTGGAGGGGACTGGAGGAGGGTGCTGGAAGGGGCTGCAGGGGGCGGGGGATGGAGGGGACTGGAGGGGGCGGACCTGGGGGGGCGGAGCTGGAGGGGGCTGGACGGGGCGGGGGCTGGAGGGGGCGGGGCTGGAGGTGACTGGAGGGGGCTGGAGGGACTGGAGGGGGCGGGGCTGGAGGGGGCTGGAGGGGACAGGAGCTAGGGGGGGACGCGGCTGGAGGGGGCGGGGATGGGGAGAGGGGGTCGGTGGAGGGGAGGGAAGAGAGAGGCGGAGGGGAGGGGGGAGGCGGAGGAGAGGGGGAGGGGGAGGCGGAGGAGAGGGGGGAGGGGGAGGCGGAGGGGGCGGCGAAGGCGGGAGGGTGCGGGGTGGCGGGGCGCGCTGTGAGGGACAGGGACGAGGTCTAGGAGGAGACAGAAGCTGGGGACCCGGGTGCTTGGCCGTCGGTGTGGCCCGGGGCGGGGGAGGCGGGGGAGAGGTCGCCAAAGGGCAGCTGCGCCCCGGCCCGCGGCCGCCGGCGCTCTCCTGCCCCCGCCTCCTCCCTCCGCAGGCGGGGCCGGCGCCGGGATGAAGGAGGCGGCTCGGGGCTGGGCCGGCGGCCGAGGCCTGGGGGAAATATGAAGGAGGGACATGCAAAAGCGGTTGCGGCTTTGGACGTGGATGGGGACGGGAAAGAGTTTAGAGATGTGGCCTTGAGCAGTGGCTTTGGGGTTTGTAAATTTAAGGATTTGGGGGCAGAGTAAAGGCCCCCAAAGAAATCCACGTTCTAGTCCTGGAACCGGTCAATGTGTTACCTTCCCTGGCAGCAGCGACTTTGCAGATGTGATTAAAGTTACAGACCTTGAGGTGGGATTGTACCCTTGACTCCATGGGGTAGAGGGGCGGGTGGGGGGTGAGCTAGTTGCCTGAGTCCGGGAGCATAAAGCCCAGAAAACGTTCTCCCCTGGGGTCAGAGACATGCACTGAGGGGTGTCCCCCCCTCCGCCCCCGTTGCTGGCTTTAAAGATGGGGGAAGGGGACATGAGCCAAAGAATTCCCACAGTCTCTAGAAGCAGAACAGGTGTGGAAATGTGTTCTCCCCAGATCTCCACAGAGGGACCCAACTCTGCTGACACCTTGACTTTAGTTCAGTGAGAACCACTGTGGGACTTCTGGTCTCCAGAAGAGCCAAATAATTGATCGTCCACCTATTAGGATATAAAACAGTCTGGGGCACTTGGGTAGCTCTGCGCCTTTAGCCTCCCACTCTTGATTTCAGCTCAGGTCACGATCTCCGCCTGGTGGGATCCAGTCCCTGCTTCAACTCCCCACAGCGTCGGGTCTGTCTGAGATTCTCTCTCTCTCTCTCCCTCTGCCCCTCCCCTGGCTTGCACACGTGGCCTCTCTTGTGCTCTCTCTCTCTCTCTCAGAATAAATTAATAAAATCTTTTTAATAAGGATATAAAATAGGCTTTCAATGAATGTTTAGTGGAAGAATGAATTTAAAAAGAAATTGGAATAAATTAATTCACAGTAAACTGCAAATGGAAACTAGTCCATTCTCTGCAGGGCTACTTGCATTTCTAAGTGTGTATTTTAAACTCAGATGGCTCTAATGGAAGGAATTAATTGGTGGCTCAAAGTGAAGCGGAGAGGTAGGGAAGAGCAAGGGGGGATTCTGCATTTGGTCAGACGTGATTTTGCAGCGAGTGTACCCCCAGGATTTGGTGCTCCTAGATTAGTTCTACTTTGTGCAGCCTCCTCTTCTGCTGGGCCCTAGTCCCGTGTGGGGTGAGAGAGAGGGCTTACAGGGCCCTGACTGGGACTGAGCACATGCTTAGGGAGCAAAGAATGATGAGGAAGGCCACTGCACAGAGCACAGGGACAGAGTAAGGGTCAGAAACCAGATGCACCACCACAGGTGAGGGAAGAATCCTTCTGCACCGTGGGAAGGTTCATAAAGGAAATGCAACCCCGGGATTAGGTTCAACTGCAAGGGACAGAAACCCATCAACAGTGGTTCAAACAATATAGGAGCTTATTTCCTTTTCATAAAAATGAAGTTCATGGATAAGCAATCCTGGACTGCTACTGAAGCTTCAAGATCATGAGGAATCCAAGCTCCTGCTACTTTATTACACTGCCATCTTCTTTGTGAGTTCCACTTCAGAGCCCACATTCCGGACAGAGAAGTGGACACAGAAGTGCACGTTCTCTCTGTATAAGGACATTTCTCAGAAACTGCATGTGACACTTTTGCTTAGATTCCACTGGCCAGGGATCCCTGGGTGGCGCAGCGGTTTGGCGCCTGCCTTTGGCCCAGGGCGCGATCCTGGAGACCCAGGATCGAATCCCACGTCGGGCTCCTGGTGCATGGAGCCTGCTTCTCCCTCTGCCTATGTCTCTGCCTCTCTCTCTAGCTCTCTCTCTCTCTGTGTGACTATCGTGAATAAATAAAAATTAAAAAAAAAAGATTCCACTGGCCGGACTTATGGACTTAAGATCATATGTAGCTGCAAAATAAGATGGGAAATAGTCTTTTTTCCAGGCAGACATGTGCCCAACTAAAAATGAGAGCTCCTGTTACTTCCAGAAAAAGGGAAAGATGGATATCGGGAGATAACAATCTGGACCAGCTGCCAGGGTCACAGGGGTAACGGGAGCAGTGGAGATACGCACCAGTTTGCAAGTACTATGTGGGTTCCCCACACATTGAGCATTTGTAAATCAGGGGCACCCTGGAACTCATTTCACTGCTGTTATATAATTTTAGGTGTGACTCACATGGACTGAATATAGGAGAGGTTAAACGTGTTTGGGGCTCCTGCAAAGCTGGCCAAGCTGCTGGCAGCCTTCCTACTACCCATTCTCTGCTGCCATTACTCAGTGTTAGCATGGGTGCAGCAACATAGGAAAACAACATCCCCTAGTCTTTCTTGCATCTGGGGTACCCATGTGACAGCAGGTGACATAAGCAGAAGCTGATAGTTGAGGCTTCTCAGAAAGCTCTTAAAAAAAAAAGATTTATTTATTTATTCAATTCTACAGAGTGAGAGAGCAAGCAAGGGGAGGCGCAGAGAGAGAAGGAGACAAGCAGCCAATTTGGAACTCGATCCCAGGACCCAGAGATCAAACTGAGCTGAAACCAAGAGTTGGACACTCCACCGGCTGAGCCACCGGGTGCCCCTGGGCTGATGCATCTCTAGACCCTGTGCAGAGACATTCAATTACACAGTTTAAAAAGTAGGCAGTGAGCAGGTTTTACAGTTTGTACTGGGATTGTTTTATTCAGAATTTGTCCTGTGGACCCCTCTTTGAAGCACACAGTAACTGTTGTGAAGAGAAGAGGGATTCTAGAAGTGAGGAATAAGCACACAATCTTTTTGGGGTTTTGAGAAGAACATTGGGATTTGAATTGAAAATGTGACATCCAGCCCTGCTGGTGGCCAAATGCAGGTCAGCGATGCTCAGACAGGCCTCTCACCCTCCAGTGTAGATGGCCATGGACATTCCCCAAACACAAAAGTGATGAAAGGACCCCCCTCTTCTGTTGAGTCTGAGTGACTGCCGCCCCATCACCAGTTGCACACACTCCAGTGCTCCCACCTTCCAGATAAGGTTAAATATCCAATTACCAAGCGGCTCTGTTCTTCTTGACGGCACCCAATCTAGGACAGCGCCCCCATCCCCACCCTCATCCTCATGCCCCTGGGCATCACCCAGCGGATGGCGCAGCCTGTTAGGAGCCCCTCATAGCTCCCTCCCGAGCCTCTGGGGGCTTTCTCTCAAGCCCATAGACCCAACATATGGTTTCCTTTTGCTGCAGGTGAGCTCCTAGCAATCTCTGATGAGCAGCCTTTAGCAGAGCACCCCAAAGCTGGAGCTTGAAGCCCCTCCTCTCTCTAGTGGTTCCAATGGAGGTTCAGGGGCCAGGACCTGCCGGCAGGGGCCAGCACGACCGTGAGTAGGAACTCTTGCTAATTCATTAACCTTGGCCTCCAAGGTCTCCTGCACCAGTGTTTCCCTGTCCTCCCGCACTGACTGGTAGGATCGGGGAAGGCCGTGCACCCTGAGACAGCAGCCACCACCTTCCCGGGCCCGCACCCCGGGCTGCAGATCCGGGGGAGCTCCCCTCTCCCGCATGCTCTTTCCATAGCCATTGTTCAGTACCGACCGGGTCCCCATGGAAAACAGGCAAAACCTCCAGTGAGGAAACAGGTAGGGAAGGGGTGGGGGGGGGCCCTTCTAAGGGGTGCTTAGAGGGCAGAGGAGTTTTTCCTGAGGCTGTGCACGTCTGAAATTTATTAGCACTAGATGTAGGAGATTCGGTGAGAGCAGGCCTTGCAAGCATTTGCAGGTGTTTCTGAAAGGTGTTCCAATCAGGAGACGTCCCAAAT